CATCTCTTCAGTTTGGTCAGGTAAGATTTGAAAAGATAGAAGCCGATTGGTTGCTATGGGCAACTGCTCCAGTTTTGATAAATCCCCCCCCGTGTTCTGGGTAGGCACCCCGATGTCTCAAGGTGGCCTGGTGCAGATCTCAGATGGCCCGTGCGATACACAGGTCGGCCGTGCTACTCTCCGGGGGGGGCTTTGCGACTCTCTAGGGGGCTTTGCGACACACAGGTGGACCGTGCGACTCTCCAGGGGGCTTTGCGACACAGCTGGGCCCTGCGACGCTCAGGGCTGTCTGGCATAGGGTGTCTCAGTCACCAGGGGTCCGCAGACGTGCAGCACAATGTCAGGGAGCCGGAGGAGAAGCAGTCACAAATGCAGCTGCGGAGGTCCTCGGCAAGCGCCATCTCAGGCGGTCGCATCGGCCTGAAACCTTCCTCTGAGCTCCGGCCGCCACCTGTAAACAAGCACAGGCTGCCCGCAGCTCTGAGGAAGATCCGGTTTCAGGACGATGTGGCCACCTGAGATTGTGCTTGAAGAGGACCTCGGTAGCCGCATCTGTCAGAAAATGTAAAGTGCCGACACTGAGTGTCTTGTATCCGGGTGCCCGCTGGCTGGACATAGGACTCCAAAACCCAGACCGTCCAGGTGAAAACTGGACGGGTGGCTACCCTAAGCTGGAGGGCCGGAGTTGCCCAATCCCTGCAAAGGACACGGCAGGTGTCTCTGGATTTTTTTGGGGCCAGGCTTCAGAGAAGCGGCGCTCGGCCTGCACACATATAGAACTTTACCAACACCGAGGCCCCTTTATCTGCAGTTATAGAAAGGTGAACGGACCCTTTAACAAGGGAAGGCCGAAGCCAGATTTCTTGCCAGTTACAGCTCAACGACTTACAGCCAGCATCTGCAGCTCCTCTACTTACCTGGAGTTAGATTGACCTATGAACACCTGAGTCCTTCATGAGACTTATCATCAGGGATCACATTTGGGCTGTGTGCATGCCACATTTATAATATATTCATGTCAGAGGCCCTCATGGGTGGAATCAGTCTGGGAGGGTGTCAGCCGCTGCATTATCTGAGGAGACAGTCCTATTTACTGACAGCAACACCCCCACCACAGACAACCCCAACATGTGGCAGATAAGGGTGAGAAGACACCACCCCAAAAATCACAGTACACATCTCTCAACTCACAAATAAAGCAACGCAAAGCAGTTTCCGGTGTTTGAATAACCTACTTCCGGTGTTTAAGTTCCCGCCAACACAGAACTGAGGCGCTGCCCACTTCCAAGATGGCCACCCAGGCACCCGAAGTGACGAGCGAGTATGGGCAGCCGCTCGTAGAGGGTTTTCTGGAGGAACCCGGAAGTATCGAGACAGTGGAACGCACGCACCGGAAGCGGTCTTGTTTTCCCGGAAGTGATGATGTGCTGAGCAGGAAGCGGTGGTAATCTAGCCGAGGTGCTGCTGGTGAGTGTCTGTAGGTGGGATGTGATAGGCTGATATGTGGGGAGCCATATTTATATGGGGGGTGGGGTGTTAAAAGGGGAACTCTGGGCAGATGAAAAATAGCTTAATGCCTAATATGTATAGTCATTGCTCTCATTTATATCACATTCCCTTCATCCTTTGCACACCAGCTGAGATCTGACATTAGGCTGACAGTGGGAGTGCCAGAGTGATAGGTCTGAGGGATGCAGAGACGTTAGAAAGCGGTATAGG